CCAGAGGGGTTGGCCACACCGCAATATCCCTTTTCCATTCTCCTAACAGAATTTTGGGCACACATGCACCCATGTGCAGTATGAGTTTGAAGCCACCAGGTCTGGGACTCAAACCATCAAACCATGGTTGACTCTGTGGGAATCCAACGACAAACAATGTAACCATTATGCCATCTGCTGGTCCCAAGGCAAAATTTCCTATAGCAAGGCAAAGGTGGTCGCACAAAGGAAACTAATGAATTAACACGTGGCTGGGATAGTAATTTGCTGATGCTTCCTTGGTCATACAGCTACTGGAGCTAATGGGTGGAATCTACCCTATTAACAGAGGCCACTGTCTGCTGCCACCACCTCTGGTATTTGGAGCACCATCAGAGCTCCACAGTCCTTTTCTCTCCAGGTGATCCGTGTGGTTTTCATCACTAGCAGCTCATCCACCATTTGCACCATTTGACCACCTATGAGTCAGACGAAAGTGCACGCAGGTTGTGTCCTTGATGGTGCAAGACTATGAGGCATAACTCTCATGGTGCCTGGCAGGGTGTATCACAGAGAAAGGAAAGGAAAGGGTGTAATTTCAATGATGAATTTTCACCAGCAACCCACAACCCACTTTGCATCCTTTCAATGAACTCTTGGAAACATCGTTAAATACGCATCTAATGAAACATCGCCATCTTGCTTCTATCATACACAGAGTGTGCTCTTTCTGTAACCCTCATGCCTCTCCATTTGGGTGGAACAGGTGGCACTTAAATTATAAGCAAATACAGGCTCCACTTAGGGTTGTTTCTAAGAGAAAACTGATTTTATGTGGATGACCTTGCTTCAGTTTCTTCTTTCAAGGGAAAAAAAAAAAATTGAAGCCAGCAAGAGGTGTAGTGGTTAAAGCGTTGGACTCCCACATGGCTGACCAGGGTTAGAGTCCCAGACCTGGCGGCTTGAAACTCACACCATGTGCGTATTTTGTGCCCAAATCCCAGAGGAGAATAGAGAAGGGATTGTGGTATGGACATCCTCCCAGGGGATAACTTCTGCTTTCCCTCTCACTGTGTCTCTATGTCTCTCTTCTCTCTGGTGAATGCACATGCCTTACAGTCAAAACCTTTTTTAAAAATGATTTCATATTGCCTGACCATTGTCACATTTGCATATGCTGTACTTACTTACCTTCGTGATGTTTGGAAGTTAAGACAATGTATTTGGCACCAGAGGCCTGAAAAATATCCGCCCAGTTTATAGTATCTTTTATTTATTTTTAAAAATTTACTAGAGAGAGAAGAGAGAGAGAGAGAGAGAAAGCACCCCCATGGGAAATGGTCACGCTGCAACCTCTTCTCCTCCATTTCTTCTTTTGGCATTTTTGGCACACATGCACAACTGCTCCTCAAGCTGCCAGATCTGTCAGCCATGTACGGGCCAGCTGCCTTAATCACCAGGCCACCGACAGGCCCATTTATATTATACATAAGAATTATTTTTAGGTAGAAAAATCTACCATTCTTCCTGGTCCATAGGAGGGAGCTGCTTAAATGGAGGGGTCAGTCTCTCTACAGGCAAGTGGCCTTTCGAGGCCCACTTCCACAGGGAAGGCGCTCACCTGGGAGGCCAGGGACAATTCTGAAAATATCGACAGCTGCAAACACCGTGTTTCCCACCAGAGTGCCTGAGCTGAGAAGCAAGACCGCACTGCTGGCGCCTGTTGCCTCACCTACGCTGCCTCACCTACCTCGCCTCACCTACCTTGAGAAACGGTGGCTGAAAAGAAGCAGATGAAAGGACCTAGCATATTTTCCTTTATCTAGTGTCAGAAATTTGAGAGTTAGGAAAATAATGCTTACACACAAAAGAGGAAAAAAATAAACCTGGAGGGACGTGTGCCGTTCGAGGTGTAGCTATCTCAGAGGGCTGGCGACCACTGCCAAGTTCAGGGCTGCCCCCAGACAGGGGCAACTCCCTGGGACGGGGCTGGGCCGTGATGGTGGCTGCGTTGGCGGTCACTGATGCGCACTGCAACTCCCGGGGTGTGTCGGTCACTGGGACTGCCCACTGGTGCTGGATGGGAAGGAGGTGCAGTTTTCAACACACAGGCCCGGAGAGGGGCCTATTTGTGATCTCCGCAGTGTAAGTAATGAGTCTGATTTCCACAAAGGAGCCGGGCATGCCAGCAGCAGCCCACCTCAAAGCTCAGGGCCCAGATACTCCACTTTTTTTTTTTTTTTACCTTTGTTTTTTGGAGAGGCTTTTGCTATAGGGTGCATGTGCTCGCCAGAAAGAGAGAGAGAGACAGAGAGACAGAAAGTGAGAAATCACCCCCCAGGGGGGATGGCCACTCCACAATCCCTTCTCCTCCATTCTCCTCTTGGGATCTTGGGCACACATGCACATGCACCCGGTGTGAGTTTAAGCCACCGGGTCTGGGACTCGAACCGCGGTTAGCTACATGGGAGTCCAGCGACATAGTCATTATGCCAACTGCTGGTCCCTCCACTTCGTTTTTTTTTTTTTAAAGAGGTTTTTGCCTTAGTGCATGTGCACTGGCCAGAGAGAGAGAGAGACAAAGACAGAGATAGTGAGAGGGAAAGTGACAAGTCACTTCCCAGGGGTATGGCCATGCCACAATCCCTTCTCCATTCTCCTTCTGGGATCTTGAGCACTCATGCACACATGGCCAGTGTGATTTTATTTTTTCTTTTTAATAATTATTTTTTAAAAGAATTATTTATTTATTTAATTCCATTTGTTATTATTTTATAATTTGACCAGAGAGAAAGAGAGAGAGAGAGAGAGAGAAAGGGAAAGCAAGAAGGCAAATCGCCAGGTCTAGGACTTGAACCACAATCAGCCATGTGGAAATTCAGTGCCCTTAACCACCACACCACATGCCGGCTCCCCGGTGTAATTTTCAAGCCACTGGGTTTGGGACTCCAACCAAGGTCAGCCATGTAGGAGTGCAGCGATGTAGCTGCTATGCCATCTGCTGACCCCTCCACTTCTGTATAACTACTGATTTTTTTTTTTTTTTAAGAAAGAGATTTTTGCTACAGGGTGCATGTACTTTCTGGAGAGACAGAGACAGAAAGTGAGAAATCATACACACACACTGCCCCTGGGGCGGTGGCCACGCTGTAATCCCTTCTTATCTATTCTTCTCTCAGGATTTTGGGCATGCACACGCACCCCTGGCATGAGTTTTAATCTGTTGGGTCCAAGAATCAAGCGTGGGAGTCCAATGACATAACCATTATGTAGTCTGCTGGTCCTAACTCACTGATTTTTTTTTATGCAGAATTATTTTAAAATGAATTGCAGATAGCATGACATTTTACCCTTAACTAATTCATCATGCATCTCTAAGAACAGTGCTTTCTGCTCCATAACGAATTAACATGCTCACACCTGGTGCAATTAAAAAGCACCCTCTAATTGCTCCACTACTCAGTCCATACTCTTCCCCATACACTTAGCACTTAACCGTCACTAGAAATTCTGGTCTGTCAGGGACCCCTGTTGTCCCCAGATCCCCCACCCTGGACCTGATGTGGATCCTGGTCTCCAGAGGAACCTGAAAAGCAAGGCGAGAAGTGGAAGGAGAGGACTGGAGACTGGGGTTTCTGAGGAACAGACGCTGGCTCCTGGAAGTCCTGACTGCCCTGGCTACCAGGATTCCACCAAACCCTTCCGGGGGAGTGGCTTCCGCTCCTTCCTGAGACTGTGTACCCTCTGTATGCTTTTAAAAATTCATTTCTTTTTGGGACTAGCAGATGGTGTAATGGCTAACTTGCTGAACTCTCATGTAGTCAACTGTGGTTCGAGTCCCGGACCCGGTGGCTTAAACTCACACTGGGCGTGTGTGCGTGCGTGCCCCAGATCCCAAGAGGAGAATGGAGGAGAAGGGATTGCGGTGTGACCATCCCCCCTGGGGGGTGATTTCTCACTTTCTGTCTCTCTGTCTCTCTGTCTTTCTGGCAAGCACCCGTGCCCTATAGCAAAAACCTCTTTTAAAAAAAGATGAAAATTGGTTTTTCTTCTTCTGACAGAGACAGAGAGGAAGAGAGAAATGGGGAGACAGGCACTTCCAACAGGGTCTCCATACTGTGATCAACCCTCAGCTTCCACCAGAGCCAGATCATGGACACACTCACCCAGCAGGGAGGTCTCTGGACACAAACTGGAACCCTCTCCTGTGGCTTAGCCTTGCAGAGCATTGCGCTATCACCACGCCACCATCGGGCGGCTGCCTCCTCCCAGTCCCAGCTGTGGCCTGCTCAGAGCCGTCTCCGCCGTGTTAAAGATGGGTCCTTTCTCGGGGTCACGTGCGGTCATGGCCATGCTCACTCGTCTTTGCCAGGCTCTTCCTCCACTACCTGGGGCCTGATTCTATGATGCTTCTGTCCATCCTAGCTTTCTCTTTTCCAAGTTTGACCCCCTTCATGGCCCCCTCCCCTTAGCCGGTGCTGGAATCTTCCCTACGTGGGACTCACAGGGATGTTTGTGGGCTGGCTCCGGTTTGTGTCCTGTGCGCTCTGTTTCCCGAGCTGGGCACAGGTAAGTGTTCGGTTTGTGCCCATTCACTTAGTCTCATATGGAGGGGACTCCAAAACTCAACTCTTTCCCCTTTATTTTCCAGAAAAAGAAATAGGGATTTAGAGAAGGGCTGGGTCTTGCCCAAGCTCACACAGGACTGAGCTGAGAGAATGAACTCAAGCCTTGCTCATTCCCGGCCCCTCCACTTCCAGGGCTCCCGGGGCTCCCGTGTGGTGCCCTTCCCCACTCACCACGGCATCTACAGGGGCTCGGCTATCGGGGCATCAAAAGAACTGAGGCTAAGAAAGTGTGAAGACGGAGAAAAGAAGAAAAACTAGAGAAGCTGGAGCCCTAGCGATCAGCGTGAGGCTGCAGGACAGTTTTAAAATGTGATGGAGCTTAGGAACACAGGTAGCATACTCCCACAATGGTCTCGTTTATTAAGGGTGTTCATTAGCATTGTTTATCTTGGTCTACACAGCAGTGTGATGGCAATACTTATATCTACAGGGGAGAAAACTGAGGTCCAAAGAAAGTCACTGGCCTGTCTTAAGTAGCAGGGGGCTTTACTGGTGTCCGGACTCCTGGTTCCATCAGGATTTTCCATTCCTGTCCACCCACAGTCAGAACAGGAGAGCAGGAGGGTGGTCAGAGATGGCTGCAGAGTGGCTCATAGATGCAGAAGCGACCCCTTCCCCTCCCCTTACACACACTCAGACGAGGAGGAAGGCTGGCCAGAGGGGTGTCAGTGAGCAAGCTTGTACGGAACCCAGCTTGGCCAGTCTCCTCAGTCTGACTCTTGTTTGTTTACCTTGTCTGTCCACTAAGAGGAGCCTGTTTCCTGTAGGTCTCTAAGTTCTCCCCCTTCCCATGCGTCAGAATCTGCCATTCCAGTTGTGGTCTCTTCTGAGTTGTCTCTGCTGTCTCTGTCACAGATGTGTCCTCTTTCTACTCTAGCTCACTCCCTCTAAAGTCCAGCATTGGTTCGGTGACCTCGAAGTATCTGGTGCTTTATCAACGCATCATCGCATTGGAACTCTACAGAGCTCGGTAATGTGGATACTAGCAGTTTTGTTTTCACCAAGGAGGAAGGTTCAGGTAGAGACCTTAGTGCCTTCTGCAGGGTCCACTTGGTTAGTAGGTGAGAAAGAAAGGGAAATTTTGTTATTCTTTGGCAGAAAGTTTAGCAACACTGCCACCTGCCGGACAGTCTGCCTTCTATGTCCACACAGTCTACACCCGCAGATTTAACCAGCCAGATTGAAAATGGTACGTTGTTGCTAAACACATACAGGCCTTTTCCCCCTCCTCATTATTCACTAAGCGATAGAGTACAACTACTTATACAGCATTTCCATTGTATTAGGTATCATAAGAAACCTAGAGATGATTTAAAGCATACCAGAGGAGTGTGTAGGTCTTATGCCAATACTACACCATTTTATATGAGGGACTGGAGCATCCATGGACTTAGGTTATCCTTTGGGAGTCCTGGGAAAAAATCACGTGTAGATCCTGAGGGCTGACTATGGAAAGCAGAAAAAGTACCTAGTGAACTGAGTGGCCTAGCTAAGAAACATCGAAAATGCTATCTGGTTTCTTCCTGTGGCTCATTACCAAATGAAAGAAGATAAGTTACAGGCAGGGCTCTTCAACGTGGAGGACCTGGGACCTGATGACTTCAGAATTTCCCAGCCTCCTTCCAGATAGCAAATGACGCTAAAGTCAGACCCAGGGCACTTTCAAGATCACGTGATCTAAAAATAAAACCAAAGGTGCGGATGCAAAATCTTTGGTCAAGACCTCAGAAAGATCAAAGATAATGTGTTCAGCA